ATGTTGAGGTGGTGTTTCTTTAAAAAATTTATTTATTTAGCTTTTCCATCGTTCGTGTGTAACCCGCGTGTGCCTTGCTTGCAATTTTAAGGCCTGCATCTGCCCCCTGCCCCAATTTATTCTGTGCCAGCCTTCTTCTTCCTCACCCTACTTCCCCCGCAAGGCAGAGAAGTCTCGGTGGCCCTGGCATGGGCGGTTGGACGTTCTGCCCTTCGGGATGTCATTGCTCCTCCTGGACTCGCTAGAAAGATGGCAGCTGGTGAAAGAGCTTCCTCAGTTGAGCTCCCAGACTTAACGTGAGAGGAAATGAGATTGAAAACTGCTGCCATGCAGGGGACTTGCATACTCGGGAGGGTGATCTCGATAAACATGGCCCTGGACCGCACTTAATGAGCATGAGCCAGCTTTCGTAGCAGCCGAGACAGGAGTTGTCTGTGTGGCCCCACAGAGGCCCAGTGCTTGATAGGCTTGAGTCCGCTCTTTAAAGGAAGCTTGGCTTGGGAAAAGTTTTTGCAGGTTTGATGATTTTTTTTTTTCTTCTGAGAATGGCAGCAGTAAATAGAACGGCATTGTGATATATAACTAGTTTGAGACGAGGTTTTTAAAGGGTTAAAAACCCTTTAAAGGGTTAAAAGTAATAAGATGTTTATGCCAGGCCTTTTTAAAGAGGAAAGTACATCTCATTTAGGAGAGTGGCGTTTTCTGTCCTTTACATCACAAGTACTTAGGCCTGCATTCTCAAGGATTGACAATAAACGTACTGTGGCTTCTGTTATTCTTAATATGGGAGACTAGATCTCAGTTAATGAGTATTCTCTCTTCCCCCCCGCCCCTTTTCTTCTTTTCCCTCCCCTCTGGGAGATATTTTGTTATATATTGCAGTGTATTTTAACATTTAGCTTCTTGTGGCCTGTGAAGAGAGATAGTTGTATCGTTGCTTTATCTCACACCCACATTTCAGGCTCTAAAATTAAAAGATACTTTCATTTTTTTTCACAGACAGGAGAGTTCTGGTGTTTTTCCACTATGAGATTTCCAGCACAGTTTAACACAAGGACATTGGAGTAAACTTTTTGCCAAGTCTGAGGTAGTTCAGATCCCAGCTGTTTTTGGAGTTTAGTGAGTCAGTTTGAGTATGCAGATTTATATACAGTTACTTAAAAGAACGCTGGCCAAGGCATTGTCACAACACTTGGCATGCCTTAAAATTTATGTTATCTTGCTTTGTGTAAACACTTGGGTTATAGGCGGATGCTTCTCTTTTAGATCAGGGGGTTCGCATAAGTAAAAGGAGTGCCTGCATGCTTTGCAAAATTTTTGGACATTTGTGTTCTTGGCATATTATCCTGGAAGCTTTAATGCACCGGGATTCAGTTTGCAATATGCCTCTGTTTAAGGTGAGTAAATACTTGTAACGAGTAGCAACCATCATAATAAATAATATCTGTAAGATTTTGGTCCAACCAGCATACTGGTTAAGCGCCATTTGAAAGTATCACCGTGGTGCTGATTCTTTCACAACCTAACCAAATACAGGCTTACTGTTTTCCTCCTTTTAGGAGTTGTAGTAGGTGATTTCTTAGAGTGGAATGTTGTACTGTTTAGCTCTGCAGTGTAACAAATTCAGTCAGTTCTGTCTCAGAAGTGATGGCACCACCAGTGTTAAGAGAAGAATGTTTGGAGTCAGTCTGAATATACACTATAGAACTATTGGCAAATCAGTTGAATAATCTCAGATTTAAATTGGGGCATGCTTCTTTCAGGCCTGTGTACAGCCATATTGTGCGGAGAGTGGAGAACTGAAACTATGGCACTTTCATGAAAGATACATCACTTCTTGCCTCTGGATAGCTGTGGGCAAATATCCGTAGTACTCGGCTCTTGCAGTGTCCAGTCTTGTAATCAGTTCTCCTGTATGTTTCCTTTTATAAGGAAACTCACTGACCCTTTGAACTTCTAGTTGACTTCAGCGAGACTGTGGTATTTGTTCAACTACTTGGATACAGAAATAGTTGTCATTTTGACCTCAGGTTAGTATGATCAGTAACAGGCATCATAAGTGAAGGTGAATATCCCTGTAAATGAAAATCAGTCCTGCTGTTTGCTTTTTGGTTGTTGTTTAGGTGTTGGTTTGTTTTTTTACTTTGTCCCGAGAGAAAATGTAACACCTAAATGAATTTTTGAAGTTTTTGTTTCACAGTCTTTTCATGTGACAAAAAATGCTGATTATGCAGGCTGTCTGGGGATCTGATAGACATAGAGATGAGAAAAATAAGGGATATTTATAGGAGAGGGAAGAGACTTAATGAAACAGTTGCACCAAAGCAAAAATTTTAAAACTTACATAGCAGGTTTTATGTTAAGTTATATCTACCATACTTAGTTTTTCCAATGGTGTAACCCCTTCTTCCTGTTAATATGCTGATCTGAATTCTGTGTTTTTGGTCTCTTAATCACTGTAATTTGTAGTGTGCATTTGGCATGTGATTTAAAGAACAAGTATAGTTAATGTCTTATATTTAAGATAATTCAGAAATCTATTTTTAGATCTTTAATTTTTTTAGGACCCCTGCTTCCCTAAGTTACTAGTATAAGATGATTGCTTTGGCGTTTTTGTTTGTTTCTCGATTTTTTCTTTAATAAGTTTTTTATTTACTAGGGGACTGCCTCTACTTTGCATTTGCTGTCTAAACAAAAGTCTTATTTTAAATGGGCATTTCTCATTAATCCATATTAATTCTCATTAATTTAAGCTGCAGGAAGCTGCAGCTTTATTCACCAAAATTTGGACCTGATAGCAAAAAAAAAGACAAAATTTGACCTGACTTTTTGACTCCAAAAAGTTCTTTCTGCTTTGTTTGCGTGACACTAATGAAAAAAGTTAACTTTTTTGTAGTATTTAAAAATACGTAATTTATAATGTTTACTGTAAATAATCATTTAATGCCACTTAGTTTTCAGTTACCTTTATAGATTATTGCCAGAAGCTCATGTTTTGTTTAATGCATTAACAAGTCATTGCGGTTAGTTCTTAACCTTCTGAAATGTATTAAATTAAGTGGGTGAAGAAAACTTATGCGAGAAAGAGCAGTAGCTTCTGAGTTGTTGTGCTTCTAGTTAGGAAGTGTTTAGTAAACATTAGCTTCTGAGTCTTCATCAAAAGCATTTGAGAGGAGATAGGATTTTTCCCAGGACTTTTTTTGGCTGTGTTTTTTTCCTGTTAGGTTCTGGTTTTAAAAGGTTTTATTTTTGTTATTGCTTTGGTTGCAGGATTACAGCTGACCTTGCAGGCTTGGCTGGATTTGTTTACTTTCTGTTCTTTACTCTTGTTTTTCATTTGAGGCATGCTCCTTGATAAGAAGGAAGAGCCATGGGGGTGGAGACAGTGATCTACACTTTTTTTTTTTTTGTGTAAAACTAACCTCGAAATAGATAAAAGGAATTTGTAGTTAAAGCTTTTTCTCATCTGTTTTGTCTAACCATGTTTTAAGCGCACTGTCAGCTTTAAGACAAGGTAAGTGCTCTGGCTGTACCCACAGTGTGGTCCCTAGGGAGGGAACCTTGAGGTAGAAACGTAGAGACAGGAGCTTTAAGGCAGTGACTTACAAACAGCTGTACTGGAAGGAAGCTGAGGTGGTTTTTGGGTTTAGAACTGACTTAAAGCAGGTTTATGTTGCTTCAAAAAGCTGTATACCATCACTGTGATTGGAGAGGGGTCACTTTTGTTAGACTGCTCTGCTCACATGTCAGCTTGCGTGAAAGAGACTGGAAAATGCTTAAGAAACCTACAAATTTCTGAGTAATTAAATGTGGTTTTTTAATAACATTGATATTCCCAGGTTTGGAGCAAGTCGTGGAGGTCCTCTTCCTCCAAAGAAATTTGGTAATCCAGGGGAACGTTTACGTAAGAAAAAATGGGATTTAAATGAACTGCCCAAGTTTGAGAAGAATTTTTATGTGGAACATCCGGAAGTGGCCAGACTTACTCCGGTAAGCTGTCAGATTCTGTCTGTTCCATTTTGCCTGCAACAGAAAATGTCACAAGGGGAAAAACTTGTCCTAGGAAGTCTGGGACAGTGTGTAACAGAACCGTCACTTCATTAAGTTTTTTGATATGTGTGCACCCGGTGGAATACCAGTTCTAGTTGTCTTAGCTCTTTTTAAATGAGATATTTTATATTTAGTAGCTTGTAATTCATCATCTTGGCTGGTCTTACTGTTCGTCAGTGTAGATAAGACTTGGAGAACTAGAGAGTTGCAATACTGGGAGGTCCTGAAAAAAACAAATAATGAACTAAGAGTGGCAGAAATACATGAGAAACATTTGAAACTAGTATTTTTATTGTAATAAGCATTTGGGCTGAAAGAGGCCATGGGCGATCTCTAGTCTCAGAGCAGGGCTAACTACGAAACTGGTGCAGGTTGCTTAGCACCTTGTCCTTCGGAGTTTAAACATCCCAAGGGATGTGGAGAGTTTATATCCTTTCTCTGAGTAGTTGGCCCGAGGCTTAATGCTTCCCATGGTATTTTTCCTCCCCATTACAATTGTTTGGAACATCTTCTCAATAGCAACTCATCAGGCAGTTGAATGTAGCAGCTAAATTGCCCTGTTGGCCCTCTTTTTCCCAAGCTAAACAAATCAAGTGGTCACAGTCTTCTTCATCCTGCCTGTATTCCAGCCTCTAGCTTTCCCCCCATAATTGAACATGTCCTATTAAAACAATCTCCAGACATTCAGGGCTCAAAACTGGAGACTGTCCTTTGTGTTTACTGTGTAGATACAGTAATCTCCCCTTCCCAACCAACTTGAGTCCAGAGTTTCTTTTTTTCCTTCTTTAATGTCTTTTTATATTTAGAAATTTCAAGAGATTTCATTCTTAACACAAGGAACAGCAAACAGATGAAATGATCTTATCCAATTACATAGACTTAATGAATCTTTGTGTGAAATATTCATGAGATATTTATATGGCATAAAGGAATTGAAGGAGGCAATGGCTTTGTAAAGATACAACAGCTTGAACTCCTGAACTACAGTTAGCATTTCGTACTGTAGTTATCGTTGTCTTAACCAGCTAAAATGGTTCTCATACTTTTCCAAAAAGGTTGGTTGTTTTTGTGGGTTTTTTACATTTTCATTCAAGCTCGGTGGATTCTCACAAATGGTAAATTTACTGCTTTGGGTAAAGTGCATGTTTCCTATTGGTGTATATCTTTGTATTGATTTTTAATAAGCATTAGAAGAAGGTCATGAATTGTGGAAGCATGTGGCAGAGTGCAGTTGGACTTGCAAGATAACCTACACAAAGATAAAACACTTTTTCTAATATTAAGATTATGCTTATGTAGATTCACTTTTTGGAAACATTTTTAAAAGTTCCATTATTAAAAAAATAATGTGAGGGCTTAAGGTATCATTGTGAAGTTGCCTGGGCTGCTTCCATGTGGAAAGGTAATTCCGAAAAGATTCCAAGTAATGTTTCTGAGTTGCAAGTTGTCCAGCAAGAGCTCTGTATTTAGCCTCCTCTGGAATGCGTTAATTGAAGGAGGAGGACTGCACTGCCTTCTGCTTGTTAGTAGTGTGTTAAAGCCTATTTATTTCATTTAGTTCTTAACACTGTCACATAAAACACGTTCCCTGTCTGATCTGCTGTTTCTAATCGCTTTTGAAGCTGTTGATCATTTCTGGCCTCTGGAAAAAGAATATAATTCTTTATAACACTATATTAACATACTTTTTTGTTGAAAGGGCTTGGAAGAAGAGAAAGACGTTAGTCCTTTAGACTGTGTAGATGGTTCATACCTCTGAATATTGGAGAAGCTATGTGATAGCTCAATCTTAAAATAAAATCTTTAGGATCATTTTAGATCTATTTAATTTCAGTTGTCTAACGAAGCTGTTACCCAAAGGTGTGAAGTGAGTTAATAGTTACAAACATGCACTTTAAGACCTGGCTGATATTTGGCATTTCTCTTTGCGGTTTTTCTCCCCTGTAAATAGTACGAAGTTGAAGAGTTGCGAAGAAAGAAAGAGATAACAATTCGAGGAATGGAGGGCTGCCCTAAGCCTGTGTTTGCCTTCCACCAGTGTAGCTTTCCGCGTAAGTATTTTGCCGCTCCTTAAGTTAATGAGGATTCTTCAAAAACTATAACTGTTTACGCCTGTTCTGTTTTCTGAAAGGTCTTCTGAAGTCTCAGCTAGCCTTTTAAAGATTTTTTTTTTTCTTCTTTTCCTGGACTCTTAGAGTATGTGATGGATGCCTTGATGGACCAGAACTTCACAGAACCCACTCCAATTCAGTGCCAAGGCTTTCCGCTAGCCCTCAGTGGTCGTGATATGGTGGGCATTGCGCAGACTGGCTCTGGGAAGACACTAGCGGTATGTATTCTTCCCTTTTATTTAGTTAGTTTTCCTAGTTACTTCACAGAAATTACTCTTGGCTACTTGTTAGTAGCTTTTGGGCTTGTTGGTGCTACAAGCATAAAGTGAGATAATTACAAGTTTTTAAAGTTTGCTTTATTGTGTCATGGGAGAGACTTGGGTCTCGACTCAACTAGCCTGTCATGTTCACAGGCCTGGGTTTTGTGTGTGCCCTTCTTTTTGGGTGCTTAGTCATTTCTGTTTGGTCTGTGCTTACGCTGTGCTCTTAGAAACAGTATGTGCTCTTTAGCACATTTGTTTTACTAACTATGCACGTTAAAAAATGGTTGAGTCTTGAAGATGTACCTTAATTTATGGGTAAGCAGGAATTTTAAGCTTTATGAACAGTATTGATTAGGGCCAAGATTGCTCAATTCTAGTAACCTAGGCTCCAAATTTAAGTGAGCCTTTTTTTAGAGGTGCTGAGCAACTGTATTTTATGCTCATGTCTAAGCAGATATGGTTGGTCAGCAGCTCTGAAAATCTCCTAGTCTGTTTGATAAATGCAAATACTTGTTTTTGCAGAATCCTGATTTTTATGCGGTCAGGGTTCCTTGCTATCTCTCATATCAGGTGTTGGATCTTTAAAGGCATGTTAGGCTAAATGGGCTCTTGCTGTGATCTGTTTGTCGTGGCAGGAGGTCATTGGTATTGAATATTGAAATTCCGCGTCTTGACTTAGTTTTTTCTGTTTTAGTACTTGTTGCCTGCGATTGTTCACATCAACCACCAGCCGTACTTGGAGAGAGGGGATGGCCCAATTGTGAGTACTTGTCAGTTCTCTTCCTTTTTCTGTGTCCATACACATTATTAATGAGGTGTATACTTTATGTAATTGGTATATCAGTATATTAAGTAGAGAAATACTAAGTAGAGAAATGTTTACTACCACAATGTGAACATCCCACTCAGTTGAAATTCTGTGCAGTTGCTGACATAGTCCAAAGATATTTAAAAATTTTAGATAATAAAGAGCAGATGGACCAATTTTGCTTATGGTGTCTGTGCGAAGCCCTGAAGTTATGGATGAGTCTGAAGCTCGGCTGTCCTGAATCACTTCCTTTTGCAGTGTCTGGTTCTAGCACCTACGAGAGAGTTGGCCCAGCAGGTGCAGCAGGTGGCTGATGATTATGGCAAATGTTCAAGACTGAAGAGTACCTGCATATATGGAGGAGCACCCAAAGGTCCACAAATCAGAGATCTAGAAAGAGGTAACTTGAAAATGGGTGCTTGCAGTTCCTGGAGGAGATGGTATTGTAAAATCTCTCTCAAAATAAAACAATCTTTAAAAACTGTTGGGAAGGAGGGGGCTGCGAATGAGTAGCTGTCTTGTCCAGCTACAATGATAGTTCATGAGGTAGTTTTCTTCTTTGTTATATAGAGGCTTGGTTGAGTGTTAGATTTTGTCTCGATTTTTCTTTTTGAACTGTACACTTCTGATGATCATCAAGATGTAGGAAGGGGAGAAGGAACCTTAACAGAAAGAGAACAGGTTATTTTGAGGAAACGCTGTAGCAGCATGTCCTGGTTTGAGTCTACTGCTAACCCTTGACACAGCAAGTTTAAGGAATGATTTGTCTTAAGCCAGATTTCTGCTTAGGCTTTTCAAATAATCAAACGTCGTTTCCAAATGTACAGAAAATTCCTTAGACAGTATGGGTTTGTTTGGTTTGGTTTGGTTTGGTTTTTTTACTGTTTTAAGCACCAAGCTCTATTTCTGTTCATGTGTCTCAGAATGTTATGTAACTGCCTTTCTGTACTTAGCAAGGGGCTGGGGTTGGGAATGATGAGGAACCATGGTTCTGCAGCAACCACCGTAATGCAGTAGTGCTCAAGAGACCTAACCTTCATTTTAAGGGCTAGCTATATATAATTTAAAATGCAGGAATGTGCTGATTGCTTTCTTCTTCACTGGATTAAAAGTGTAATAGAATTATATGAAAATATACATAGGAAGTATTATCAAGGTAAGCTTATATATACACAGATATACTCAGGAAATCAGAAAAATTTTGCTTACCACAGCCGTTAGCAGAGTTGCTGTTAACTGTAGTAATGGGATAAAGGCATCCATGGTAGAAGACTGAGGTAGCTCTGTTAAAGAAAGTGGTAGTGCATTTCTATTCTGTGGAATAGTCAAAGGTTACATGAAGGGACCTTGTGAGGATCAGCTTGGTGGTTTTTTGCACACCTCTCTGCAGTGCTTTAAAACAGGTGTTCTGCTTATGAAGAAAACCCTTTAGTTGGAGGATGTGGGCAGGTTTGCTCCTTTCAGTCCTTTGAGGTGTTACTGTCTGGGCAGTTGGTTAGTATTTCCTGCACCAAAGATTGTTGAATAGATAAGAGTTCAGAAAACTTTTTTTTTCCCCCTCTTAATTGTGCTTTTTGGGGTGTTTAGTGAATTTACTTTAGAGGAGTACATCATTGACCACAGAGATTGCAGTTGATTCAGTCTCTGTGGTAGACCAACAGTTCCATTAGAAATCTTAATTCTTGCATGAACTTTATAGAAACTAGAGGTATGTCCAGCTTTGTCAACTCTAAGGAATCCAGGTTGACACAGACAAAGTGATCTGGCTTGCCACAGAATACTCTGCATCTGTAAGCGCAGCTGCTATCATGAAGGCTTTTAGGATTTTGCTCTTCTTCACCGCCTTGCTTCCCAAAACTTACCTTCTTTGGACGTTGTAGTGATGCTATATAGGATTTGGGAACTGGTAGAAATCCTAATTGGGAATTTGCCTCTAGGAGGCAACAAAGCTGGTGAAGAGCCTGGAAAATAAATCTTATGAGGAGCGATTGAGGAAGCTGGGACTGTTCAGTTTGACGAAGAGGAGGCTGAGGGGGGATCTCATCATGCTCCACAATTACTTGAAAGGACATTGTAGAGAGGTTGGGGCTGGTCTCTTCTCACAGGTAATTAGGGACAGAACCAGGGGGAATGGTTGCAACTTGCAACAGGGCAAGTTTAGGCTGGATATTAGGAAGAAATTCTTGTCAGACACTGGAACAGACTGCCTAGGGAGGTGGTTGAGTCGCCATCCCTGGATGTGTTCAAGTGTCGCTTAGATGTGGTGTTGGGTGATACGGTTTAGGGGTGAACTTGTAGAGTAGGGTCAATGGTTGGACTCGATGATCCCAAGGGCCTTTTCCAGCCTGAATTGTTCTATGATGCCATGATTTGAGAATTGGTAGAAAACAGTCCCTCCTTGTAAGGAATGTGTAAATTGCCATACTTACTGCTAGCTTGTGAATATTTGAATGCTGTGTTCATGCTGACAAATATGGGCAGGATGGTTGTCTGTCATCATTGGTGCATAATTACTCGGTATTAAAGCCCATGCTTTGACTTTTTTTATATATGGTTGGGTTTTTTTCCTTGTTAAAAAAAAAAATTAATGAAAGTAATCTGACCTGTACAGCAAGAGGAGCACTTAATGTTTGATTAACGTGGGCTGTTTAGCTGAAGTTCGTTCTTACTTTTCTAGAGAGCTCTCTAGACTGCATAATTCTAGATGGGGGTGGGTCAGGCTTGAGTAGAAGCATATTTTACTTCTAATTTTTGGACAGCTCTTCACTAGTGTTTTCTGACAGTAAGATTTTAGCTTCTATACTGCATTTATTATTCTAATAGCACTCTAAAGGTAATTTCAGAATGGAAAAAAAAAATTCAAAGAAACTGAGGCTTCTACTGAAATGACTCAGTCTTGGGTACGAATGAGGGTGGTGCTTTTTTTTTAAAAAAAAAAAATTTGCTCTGGAAGGTGATTCATTCTGACTAAAAATACCAATTGACATTCAAGTGAAGAGACCTACTCTTTTTCCTTATTCTGTTTTGAAGGTGTGGAGATCTGCATTGCTACACCAGGTCGCTTGATTGACTTCCTTGAGGCAGGAAAGACCAACCTTCGTCGGTGTACGTACCTGGTGCTCGATGAAGCAGACAGGATGTTGGACATGGGATTTGAACCCCAAATCCGTAAAATTGTTGACCAGATAAGGGTACGTGGACCTTATAAAAGGACAGCCTCCTTCGGCTTCCCATTTGAAGTCCAGGACCTGAAATAGATCTGTTTTCCTTTTCTCTTAGCCTGACAGACAGACTCTGATGTGGAGTGCCACATGGCCAAAAGAAGTGCGCCAGCTTGCCGAGGACTTCCTGCAGGACTATGTTCAGATCAACGTGGGAAACCTGGAGCTGAGTGCCAACCACAATATCCTGCAGATAGTGGATGTGTGCATGGAGAGTGAGAAAGACCATAAGTAAGCTGCTTTTCCAACCGTTTCACTATTTTTGGTTGTACCTGAAAATCTACGTTGCTTTGTAAGCCAGAATATTGAAGTGGTTTGTAGTATGATTTAAGCTTTGAGCATTACGAAGTAATTAACTAATGTACTTTAACGATACCTTTGTACAACAGACCTAAATTCTGTGGAAGTGATACTGATTTATGTGGACACGTGTCGTTCATGTTCTAAATGTAAATTGAGAGCATATACTTGGATATACATCTTGTCTCTCGTCTATTTTAGACTGATACAACTGATGGAAGAAATCATGGCAGAGAAGGAAAACAAGACTATCATCTTTGTGGAGACAAAGAGGCGATGTGATGATCTCACTCGAAGGATGCGCAGAGATGGGTGATTAGCTTCCCCCCTCCCTCCCTCCCCTTGTTTCTAGCGGGAAACAGAAACTGTAATCAAAAGCAGTAAGGTTTTAAATGTTCATGATGGTAGTGTTGCGAACAGCTTGTCCCTTCTTTTCTTGGCTGAGTTCAGTCTTAGTTTCACAGAAGATTCCCGACCATCAGAGCATTAGTGTGAGAGAGAGGAGTTGTAAGCCGTGCAGGTTTTAGTGTTGTGCTGATCCAGACTGTATCAGTGTAACAAATGTGATTTGATGTAGATAGTTGTTTCGGTAGTGGGTTTAACATACAGGAAACAAACCAGTATACATGCTGGGTAGATACAGGTCAGAAGAGGACAGGGAGTTAAGTACTTCTCAAGTATTTTTTCACCTTTTTGCCAAAAGGCCAGTAAAGTTTCCTGTTGCCTTTAATGTATGTACTTTCCATCTATACTAATGTGCATCTCTGTTTGGCAGTTGGCCAGCTATGTGTATCCATGGAGACAAGAGTCAGCCAGAAAGAGATTGGGTGCTTAATGGTGAGTCCATCACTGAGGGAAGAATAACTTCTGTAAATAATTTACAGAGATGTGTTTTTCTCCAGTCTTTTTTTTGCCTTGTCTTTATACCCAGTAGATGTATTTCAAAAGAACTTCCTTTGCCTTTGTACTGTTAATGTCAGTACTTGTATTTGCCTTCTGCTTTGACAAAATCACAGTGGGAAAATTGCTTAACCGAAACCTGGATTTTGAAATACCCTAACTTGCTGGAATTTCTGAAATTGACCTATCTTACCTAGATTCTGGAAAATAGAGCATTAAGTATAAATCAGTTTCAAGTACCTTTATCTTTTTGAAAAGTCTTTCTTCATAGCATGCTTTGTTTTACAGAGTTTCGTTCTGGAAAGGCTCCTATCCTCATTGCTACCGACGTTGCATCTCGTGGGCTAGGTTTGTACACATAGACCACTCTTGCCTACTGCTGCATATTTTTCTTCTTTGGACTGAAATATGTTTTCTTTTTAAAAAAAAAAAAAATTCAAAGCGTGATTTTCCCCCACATGTGAAATACGTTTTTTAACATTAATCTTTTTTTTTTCTTTCATATTCAAAGTCTCTTCCTGCTCCTAATGAACAGGCTTTGGTCTGCAGCAAGGCCTAGGCATGACCAATCGATCGCCAAGAGGGAGAAGAGACGTCCAATTATGCAACCCAACCCTTCCACCACACTCACTTCTTCCCCAAATCCAGCTTTTGTGGCTGGATGATAGGGATGGATTTGCTCTCAGTTCAGAGCGTGTCAGATAAAAGTTCAAATAGGAAGTTGTGGGAGAGCATTTCAACAGTGAATAGCTAATATTCTCCCCATATGACACATGGCAGATTTGAACATACCAAGCCCCAGTGTTCACACATGTTTACCCCACAGATGTATTCGCATCTGAGAAAGCACCACTCCAGATCTTTGGTCTTGACATGTAATCTCCCCTGCTCTGTGTTCCTTCTAGGCAGGACCACTGAGATTATATATGGCCTTTAGCATCGTGTTGCCCAGGCGTGTAATTGAACCGAAACCGCACAGCTCTGTTCTGGTGGTACGAAAATGATCTGTCTGGATGCAGCAGTTGTGCCCCCTTTTTTAATAAGTATATTTGTATTGTGAAATGCTGTGTGCCAAGCATGGCCCTTGTATGTCTGCCCACTCTAGAAGAGGAGGATGGCTTCTGAAGTGCTCTTGAGTTTTTAATAACGGACATTGAATACCCTCCCTGAGTCTGATAGAAGATAAACTGCTTGGGAGTCGATACCTCATTCTAGTGAATTTTAGACAAAATTACCGCAGATCAGTGCAGATAAGTTTGGAGAAATCTCTAGTTTGTTAAAAATCTCAGTTACTTGAGCTCTCTCTTTTTCATATGCTGAAAGGGTGGCTGTGCTGTGCATCATATGGTCACTTCAATACAGGCAGACCATTACTAGACTTGGCAGCCTTTGTTCCACACAACCTTCACCCTCCCCCCCTCCCCCCTCCAAAAACGTCCAACACTTCCTCAGAGAGGTGATTATATGGACTTCAGTCTCTGCCCTCTAGGGTCATGTCTGGACCTGTGCAGTTAGAACTTGGGCCTGTTGGGAGAAGGGACTGAGGCCTGAAACTAGTTTGTATGAAAGAGAGCTGCTTTCTCTAGCAGCATTTTTTAAACAGGCTTGCTATGTGCTGGTAGCTTCTTTGTGCATCTTGCCTAGACATTTAAAACAGCCTCACCCCCTCAAAAGGAAAAAAAAAACAAAAACCACTCTGCCCAAAACTACTCAATTGGATAACACTTCAGAAAACAAGTCTCCCTGCTTCCCGTCCTCCACATCACCTGAGCTAAGGGGGAAAGGTACCAGAGTCTGTTTCTTGTTACTGAACAACATCTCTGCTTGTTTTGGGGCCCTGAGTTTGCTACTTCTTAAAATAAGTCACTTAACTGGCAAACTTCTGGACGACTTCCTCCAAGATCCTGGAAAGTGAAGGCTTCTACCTAAATAACATAAAACAGGGGCGCGCGCCTTTTGGCTGAGTCACCAGGGCTTTCCCTCTTCCTAATGGAACATTGGTTTCAAAAAAGCTTCTTCCAGGTAAGTTCTGAGTCCCATGATGACTTCTTTGTGATAATTCCCTGGAGTGAGGTCCTCTCTCTGCACTGAATTTTTTTTATTATTATTTTTTACTTTATTTTTTTGTTCAGTCTATTAAACTAAAAACGTTGAATTTGTTTTGTTTTGTTTTCTTTAACAGAAGCTTTGGTATCAGCTGCAGATCACTGTCAGTGCAGGGGTGGGGGCACATGTACATTGATGGTCTGAACAGCTCTCTAGATGAGCGTGTTTGCTAGTTGTTGTCTCTCCCGCTTAATATTTGGAGACTGTCTGTGCCGTAGGGTATTCTGATGGTCTGACAGAGGGAACGTTTCCCAGTTACAGCTTCAGTTCTTCATCCTGCTACGTTATCTAAAAGCGCAGGAAGATTGCAAGTGGGCGCAAACGCTTTGGAGCATGCTAGACTGGAGAAGCAGAGTCTTACATTTGCTCTGGTCTCTTCAGCGAGCTGCGTGCTCTACCAGGACCACTTTGTAGTCTGGAAAACACTCTTGCATTTTCCTCTTCCTGCCTTCCCATTCTTCCCGCTCCTCCCCAGTCGAGTCAGTTCCATCTGCCTCAGTAGCTACAGTTCCCTGTGCTTTCTGCCGGGAAAGCACGTCCTTGTGTATGCTCTGTGGTCATTCAAGTCGCTTTGCTACTGATGGACGTGCAGAACGGGACTGGCTGAGGATCGTGTCACGCTAGTTACACCCTGGCTGTGAAGATGCAATCTCTCATATGTACTCCTCTCTTTACTTCACTTTCCCTTTTTACAAAAACCTGTTGCATCAAGGACCCTAGCTGGAGACTCGCGCAGCCCCCTGTGAAACCTGCCTTCTCACTCCCTTTTTTTGGTGTGATTCAGGACTTTGGAGTCAGCAAAGACTGAGGAGCCCCCCCTTTGCTGTAATAAGAAACAGACATAAAGTCCCCCTCTTGTCACTACAACCCTCTTGTTTTTATTTTTCCTACAACCCCTTTGAAATTGATGCAGTCTGGGCAATAGATGCAGTCTGACCCTTTGGATGTAATTTTTGTATCTTCATTTTTTTGACAATTGCCCCCAAGAGCCCCGAATAGGGGACAAAAAGCGTTGGAGGACCTGAAACTTTTACGTGAACCCAGGTTCTCCGGCGCTTCACAACCAAATGGGGCTACAGAGAAGCGTCTAAGCCAGTTCACAGAGCGAGCGTGTGTGGGGACTTCTCGCTGCCATGGACCCTTGATGCATGCTCCCCGCGCTCCAGTGGTCCCGTGTCAGAGGGCGGAGTTTTCGAAAGGAGGCCGCCAAAAATAAAAGGCAAAGAGACGGGATCGGCTGCAGCGGTTTCCCACAGGAGGAGGGAGTGTGCATCGGTCTGGTAACAAACAGAGAATGTTTCTCTCTTTAAAACGAAAACAAAAAAAGAGAAAGGAAATCACAAAAATCTGTGTTTTATCTTGGATATTTTCAGAATATTCTTTTTAAAATGCAGATTTTTAATTTTTTTTTTTCTGAGCTGTTAGGGCATTTACTGTAATATCATGCTTTTAAGAAAGTCTGTACTGTAGTAAATAGATGGTTTTGATACTTGAGGTACTTTTACCGAAGCGTTGCACTAACATTTACTTTGTTCCTGTCCCGTAAGTTTACAAAGTCTGTCCTCCCATAAGACGTGCAGCTCTGATCTACATTTAAAAACTGATTCGCCTACAAAGAAATTTTGATAATTTAATTTCCTGCTTCCATCTGGCACCGGAAGTAGGGAATTGCTAATGGAATTCAGGATTGTCCAAATAACGAAAGCTTGCCAGAACTGGATGGAACAGCACAGTGGAGTGTTAGTGCAATGCATTCTACTGATTGCTGCAAAGCCGAGTTAAAAGATACTGTAGGCCTGAATAATTTTTATGGAGTTGGCTGAATAATGCTAATGTAATTGAAGTGTCTTAAGCTTTAGGCTAGGGAAAGTTGTTCACTGTATTTTATTAGGACTGTAAAAGTAAATATTTTTAAGATTGCTTTTTATTTCATGTTACCGAGTGTAAGGTAAGTGATCTCATTACTGTTATTATTTGTTAGGCTTCTCCCAACAGAGTAAAAGCTTCACTGTGGCAGTTCTGCCTTTCCTCCACCCCAGTTTGCTCTGTCTGATGGTGGCATTTTCACTCTCCAGATTGTGTTTTTTAAAAAAAAAAAAAGAGATATGAAATTCAATTAGCTATTCACAGACATCGGTGTCTTTGACACAGGAAGACAGAGAAATGCATTCCGGGGAGGATGAATTTGAGTACAGGGCAAAACTGCTTTAAAATTACCACTGTTTTTCAGGACACCAATTTCTGTTCCTGACAATCTTAAATTTGAGTCGTCTTCTACTCTTTTGGGATGAGTCTGTCTTGTATTTGTTCCATGCAATTACTAACTTTGTATTTTTTTTTCTTATTACTGTCACCTGCATTCGTGCTCCCCACCTTTCGTTGGCACGTCCTCTCTTCTTCTCCCCTTTCCTGAACCCTACCCCTTCACTGTGCTTCGCACCTGGGCACTTCACAAGACGTGGAAGACGTTAAATTTGTGATAAACTACGACTATCCGAACAGCTCTGAAGATTACGTGCACCGCATTGGCCGTACTGCGCGTAGTACCAACAAAGGTACTGCCTACACCTTCTTTACACCAGGAAACCTGAAACAAGCCAGGGAGCTTATCAAAGTGCTGGAAGAGGCCAATCAAGCCATCAATCCAAAGCTGATGCAGCTTGTGGACCACAGAGGAGGAGGAGGTGGTGGTGGAGGTAAAGGCACATGGGGGAAGGGCTACACGGGGCTCCCCGTTGCGAGGGCGGGACAGTGGAAAAGAGGGTAGGGAAGGAGTAAGTGCAAGTCTTGAGTTAACAGATAAGTAACGAAGCTGGTTTGTACCCAAGCTGCCAACACATTAATGTAGATGCAGTGTTTCTGCCCACTGTTCTACCTTAGCTGTAGATTTTTATTTCTTTTTCTCCCGATAAGGTCCTCACAGAGTTAGTCTCGTTTGAATTAATTGATTTTTTTTGCAGCTTCTGCCTAAGCTTGGGCAGCTGCATGTGTGCAAAATTGAAACAGATAAAGGGATACACTGACTTGACTTTCAGGGACTATTTTTCCTACCGTTCCCTGAAGGAGTAAGTTTCCTTGTATTTCCAAGTCAGCCCTGAATTTCTTTTGTGTCTTTGTCTCCAAGCACATTCCTTAAGAACCGTTTTTGAACTTTGCATTTACACAAACAAATTACAGAGGTATTTGCCCAGCTGTGCAGGGAAGTTAAAGTCAGGCAAAAGAGCTCGCTCCTTGTGGGCAAAATTGTGGATGTGGAAGGGGGAGAAAGGGTGGCATAATTGTACCAGAGTTCATTGTTTAAGACTTGTTCATGGTACTAAATCTTAATATATCCATCGCCAGGAGGTCGCTCTCGTTACCGAACGAGCAGTTCAGTAAACAACCCTAACCTGATGTACCAGGAAGAGTGTGACAGGAGGCTCCGGGGAGTGAAAGAGGGCCGGAGAGACTCAGGTGGCTTCAGAGACCGTGAGCGTGGTGACAGTTATGCCAACGGAGCCAACAAGACCTATGGCAGTGCCTACGGGAGCCCAAATTCCGCTTTCGGGGCGGCACAGAGCCAGTATGGTTACGCTCAGGGGAGCTATGGAGCAGCTGCTG